GCCGCTACTGGCTGTCTCACAGACAGTAACTAGAGGCTCTTCCTGGTTTTTTATGGAGTTTGACTCCGTGAAACTACACTGGACATCCTCATGCAAAGCGTCCAGCGTCTTCTAAACTCCATAGGAAAACACTGAGCCAATGCTTTTCTATGAGGAAGAGCTAATGCGTGCATGGCACATGCTCTAGTCCTCCTCTAGTGGCTATCTACTAGACAGTCACTAGAGGGACGTCCGTGTTCTAAACTAATATGTTTTCCTGGCACTGGAGAATCCCTTAAAGCAACTATTGAATGCAAACGACTCAGAACAGCTCAACTGCTACTCTGTGAAACTCCAGTTCACTCCTGTTTACAGGTTTGACAAGTTTCAATCGGGTCAAGCCATATTGATGTATGTTTGGGATTTGGTTCTGTATGTGACCTTCAATTTAACAAGTTAATAAATGTTATCTTAATACAGCTTCCTACAAAACGCAGATGCTCACAGCTGCTGGGAACAGCATTTGCACTAAACTCCATTCTGACCAGCTAGAAAGACTATTGCATTCATCTCCAAGTCAGTTGAAGGTGTGTTCATTTTCTAATTAATAATAATTAGCTCAAATGAGCTCAGGTAATGCAAATAACTCATGTGGCATCAAGCTTTCCACATAACCTAAGATCAGAAATATTTATTATGCTATTATTAAATATCATAATTTATCTTTGAAATACTTTGTCTGCTTTGACACACCTATTTCTTTGATCTTAGAAGTCTGTCACAGTTGTACCGACCACTACTGTTTCCATCTAAACTGTTACATGCCTAAACTTGTTATGGTCATGATGCTCACATTAAAGTTTCAGAACTTTTGCAAGCTTTAAATAAATATGACACAATAAACCTTGTCTTAAAATTAACAGCTAACATGAAACTGACAGAATAAATTGCTAGCCAGCCCCAATGGCATTACTATCGCAGGGGTCGCAGCTGCTACCCGGTCCGTCATGCCATGGGTTCCCACCAGGAGGGCAGCTCTGTGCTGCTCCCCTCCTGCCAGACACTGTATGTAGCGTAACCGAGCAGACTGCAGTCTGACAGGAAGTGCTCACTGATAGAGCACTTTCTGTCAGACTGGATACTGTGGTGAGCAGGTACAGGAGGGGCAGGGAGAGGGTATAAAACACATGGAGGGTCTGGAGGGGGGTGATGAGACAAATGGAGGGGCTAAGGGTGAATGAGATGGAGAGGCTGGGGGGAGGAAATGAGAAACATAGAGGAGCTTGGGGGAAATGAGACACATTGAGGGGATTGGGAGGAAGGAGACACATTAAGGGGTAGATGGAAATAAGACACATGGATGGATGGGTGGTGAAAATGAGACAAGTAGAGGGGTGGGGGATTGATACACATGGAGGGGCTAGAGAGGAGGATGAGACACATGGTGGGGATAGGGGTGAATGAGATGGAGAGGCTGGGGGGAAGGAATGAGACACATGGAGGGACTGGGGGGGGGAGAATTAGACACCGGGGGGTACACAGGGCAGTTTTTACACCATGGCCCTGTGGTTTTTAGTTAAGCCTCTGGCTAGCACATATATTATTTTATATAATTTTCTTACATCTTTTCCTCTTCCTCTTCTGGTCGATTTTTTATCCAGCTGTTGTCCTGCAAAAGTGTCCTCCTTCTGTTTGCTTCTTGTATAACATTCTGCCTGTTAACAGATCCAAGAGTGGCACTCTTTGACTCTATTAGAAAGGAAAGAGAGGCCATCATTCCCAATAAATAAAAATGGTTAATACACACTAACATAACAAATCCTGCCTAACTTGGTTCATTTTGTATTTTTAAAATTTGTTATATCCCAGCAGAGTTGTTGCAAATAAGTCTGGTGCGCATGGGAAAATGTAATAAGTTGCATTTGACCTTCTTCCCCCCCCCCTCCCCCCACTAGTGAAATGCACCCCATAACAGAGGCCCACTGATAGATGGGTCAATAAATATTGCTGAGGGTGTTGGGAATTTACTCTAATCTTCTACCCAGAGCCAGGAATCTCATAACCCCAGGCCCTGATAGAGTTAGATATTCAGTAGTGATGGTTGTATTCTTGTTTTTGTTTTTTTAAAGATGAATAATAATTGCTGCCAAGAATGAGATTGTGGTGGACTAATCTGAACACGATGGACATGATCTATTGAAGTCTTCTGAGAAGGATGAAGGAAAGGTAATAAAGAAGAAGGGGAGAATATGGAGAGACTGGAAGATAGAATAGAGAAGGTTAAGAGGGCTTGAAGGAGATGGAAGGGGGAAAAGAGCTTAGAGGAGTAGTGGGGAGATAGGAGAACATGGAGTGGTTGCATCGTGTAGAGGAAAGATGGGGGGGAGGGGTTATGAGTAGAGAAAAGTATGACAAACATTTTAACAATAAAAAATGTGTTTAACTATAAAAAAAAGTTTCATATTTCATTACCATTTCCAGTGGAACTCCTGAACATCGACATCTTATACACTTGGATATTTTAATTCTAAAACAAAACAAATTAAAGTTAAGAAACCAAAACAAATTAAAGTTAAGAAAGTATCTAAAGTATTGGTCACAGATGAAAAGCAAGTTTTGCTCTAGAACCGTAGTATGTGTTAAATTAAACATTAGTAGTAACAGAAATAGCAGTGGCATGTTTGAAAAGTAAGAGCTATAAATAAAACTATATAGAATGTAGGAACGTGTAACTAAGCTTTCGAAAGGATTTGATGAATGTATAGAAATTATGAGAAGAGAAGGATTCAGCACGATTGCACAACCTACGTAAACACTACAAGGAGATTGTGTCATTGTTTCATTTGCTTATTTCTATTGGCATAAACAGATGTTATTAACCATTTCCATATTGTTGAGAATACACATTTGGTCTTTGTATTACTGTATATACCAGAATTATAGGAGTATTACAATGTGCAGTGATTGCTCTTTATTGGACAATATTTTTAAGAAACAAGCTTTCAATACGTAGTTTCCTCTCATCTTCAGGTCAGAAACAATGCTTGGCCAAAGAATTAGCCAGGACGGTCAGAAAGGATGGTTGTCATCTACACAAGTTCGGAGTTAAACTATTTGTAAAGGGTAAGTTGGCGTCCACAAACCATAACAGCTTAATTGAAATGAAGTTGTTATGGTGCTCAGAGTGTTCCTTTAATAGCCGCTTTTGCATAATTGTAGAAAGATCACTTGACCTACAACTTTTGAAAAGCAAATGGCAATTATTTCTATACCTTTCCCAAGAGTAAATTGATTGTTAATATCAGACACTATTTAGACACACAGGTGGAACATTTCTAGAATGGTCAAGATAGAAAAGTTGTACATAGATGTAAAAGTGGAGCAATCACAAGTGGTTTTTAGCTGCTGATTCTCTTGGTTTCCATTGTAATTGCCTCGCTTTTACATTTTTGCTCCAGATTTCTAATAACAGTTACATAACACAAACATACAGTACAATCATTTATACTGGAATAACAGGAGATATTACTTACGACAATTTTTTCATTGCACAGCACAATTGGTGACCACTCTAATAGCTGCACTAGGAAAATATGAGTCACATCCCACACCTATCTAAAATATGCCGATAGGGACAGTGAAACTGAATGATTTTGCAATATCTTCTCAACTAACTCATCAATGATTTTTTATTCTCATTGTAGCTTTTTCCTTGACCCGTACAGGTGGAGTTTTTGATCCACAAATAACCTTAATGAGTACTTTGCTGATTATTATAAGTTGCAATTATAAAAATGAGTGCAAAATAGCATTAGTAGGGTGTACGCAAATATAAAAATAAAAACAACAAAATGTATAATGTGATCTATTCCACATATTGCTAATAGGATCTAAATCTTTTTTTCAAATGGAGCAAAACAGGCTTTTGCAGGCCTCATGATGAAGTCGGTCGGTCCCTGAGTTCCTGATTGAAACTTCTTTATTATGCTTTACTGAGAATTAAACAAATGTCAGTCTTGTGTAAATGCATTGTTCATGATAGTATGATGACACATGTTTGATATGATCTCTATTTTGTCCTGAAACAATTAAAGGGTTGCTCTAAGCATCATAACTGCCCACTGTAGTGGTTACGATGCCATTAGAACCCAGGCACCATTGCCGGTAATGGGGCAAACTGTTATGCAATGATTTGTCCACTTACCTGGTTCTTTACTGGGAGCCGACTGTCCTGCAATAGCTGGTGATGACATACGGCTTCTGCAGAGCTGCAGAAGCCAGAAGTCGATCCCACTGACTATTGGCTCGTAGCTTCAGCTGACCTCTCTCAGCCAATGAATGCAATTCTGTGAATAGGATAATGCAGAGAATTGAAATTAGCCAGCCCAGGAATGTTATTTTAGGCTGGTTAATGATGCCCCAATGATATGGCCAGGAGTTACTCTTCTGGCCGCAGAGGTGTTTAACTCCATATGTAAAGTGTTTCAAATTGAAACACTGCACATATAGACTCCAGGCACCAGAGGCGTAGCTAGGGTCTCTAATTCCCATGGCGAGGATCTGTATAGATGCCCTCCCCTCCTCCCCGCTCGCTCCCTACTCCCTCTTCAATCTCCAGGCAGGGTAAAGTATGGCTGCACTCTCAACTCACTTCTGCCTCCCTTCCATCCGTGTCTCTGTACGCCTTCCTTCCATGCCTCTCTCTACCCCTTTCCATCCATGTCTCTTCTTTCCTCCCTTCCATGTCTCTCCCGCATGTCAGGCACCATGACCACTTCAAGTCACAGAAGTAGTCATGGTGTTCGGAGTAACCCTGTAAAGGACCACTATAGCGTTAGGAATGCAAATGTGTATTCCTAACGCTATAGTGCCCTAGTAACCATTTAGGTAACAATGCCCCCGCTGCCAGGGTTAAAAAAGTGACTAATTTGATTATGCCATTGCAGTTGTTAATAATAATAGTAAAATAAAACATGGAAGAATGCCAAATATTAGGAATCAAAGCACAGCTAAAAGATAGAATGAAGGCAATATCAATGTTGGCTATAGATAACCTTTCATGATGGAGCATAGGGCTAGATGTTAAAAGTTAGCGTTATACAATATGATTAGATACAGTTTATGATAAGGAATTAGTTGGGATTGGAGGTTTGGCATCACACTAGTTATATATTTAATGGTAAATGTTTATTATGAGCTAGACCACCTTGTTGGAGTAGTTGGAGTTTGAGCTCAGGACTTATTTGTGTATTTGTATTTTCCTTTTGTATCACACAGCCATGTTACAGCGCTGCCGCCCATCCCATGTGTTCCCTATTAAGATTTAATAAGTATGTAGATGTTTTTAAAAAAAATACCCCTCTCTGTCTCATTAGAGATTTTCTTTTACTAAAGCAAGCAAGGTGAATTGTTTGTGTAGGACCCACCTAAGAGGTTTGCCTTGACATGGCAGGTGGGCTTACATCTGATGGCCGTTGGAGTGAAACTAAAAAATAAATAAATTATTCTCCAGTAGAAACCTGTTATGGAGAATACAAACAAGAGGATATCCCATATGGAAACAAAAAGACATTGAGTTCTCCAAAGAGATAGGAATGGGTAAAGGCGTTAGACAGAAGAATTAGAATTAGAGAAGCGAGCAAGGGGTGAGAACAAGATAAAAGAGGAAAGGAGACAGAGCAAGGAGATTAGAAAAAAAAAAGACGATCCAGTACTTGTCATCGTTAGAAAAGCTTGCACTCTAATGGGAATTAGTCATTTGATCTGTATTGTGAGAGCGAGTGTTAGAGATTGCCATTAAGAAGTAAATTCAGGGTCTTACAGCCATGGATGTCACATTCTATAAAAACATTTGGTAGACTTGTGGTCTAAGGGAAGATTTTGTGTTTACCTGCAGATTACATGCCTCGTGCAATAATCAGGAAGAATACAGAGATAAATCCAAGATCGAAGAACAATTACAAATTATTTTAAAAATTAAAAAAGAGATATAAAGTATAAAAGTCTTGGATCCACAAGTATAAAGTATTAGCAATTCATGACAATAAAAATGAAATATTCTTGTTAGACAAGTTAGGTTTCCTTGCCTGTCATTCTATCTGTTCCTCCCTTATGTAAATAATCCTGTTTCTCTATTCTTCCAAGTTAAGGACAAATACCTAGATGTCACCTATGTTCAAAGACGTCCACCCTCAGCCCTTCTAATTACTCTCAGTAAACTCCCATGATCTTCCCTGACCTACCCATAATATCTGATTTAATTAAGATTTGTTGTAACAGAAGCAGGTTTTCATTACATTACCTAGTCACATTTAACACATACACACACACACACAAACACACACACATATATGTTTACATTACATAGAGAGAAAGAGAGAGAGCGTGTGTGTGTGTGTTTGTGTGTGCGCATGTGTGTGTGTGTAACATTTACATAATCCCAATTTTTTTCACTGCAGCCGTCATGAGAATTTCAATAAAATTCAAAGATTTAATACATTGTTTTTTGGGGGGTTTATTTAAGCACAACAATTTACATTTTTGATTAGTTTAAAAAAAAATCATAATAAATTACCAGAATAAATGTTTTTTTTGAGACTGTATAGAAATGACAAGAAACACGTCAACATAAGGGAAATCCAAATGCTACTAGCCAATGCATCTAAACTCCAACATAGTCAATAAAACAGAAGATCAGGCATAAACTGGATATAATCCCAGGCAGATGTATTGAGATATAGTGCAATGTTGCAATTTTTTGCAGACTAAACCCAGCCACTCACATTGACTTAAAGGACCACTCTAGGCACCCAGACCACTTCAGCTTAATGAAGTGGTCTGGGTGCCAGGTCCAGCTAGGGTTAACCCTTTTTTTTCATAAACATAGCAGTTTCAGAGAAATTGCTATGTTTATGAATGGGTTAAGCCTTCCTCCTAATCCTCTAGTGGATGTCTCATTGACAGCCACTAGAGGCGCTTGCGTGCTTCTCACTGTGATTTTCACAGTGAGAGCACGCCAGCGTCCATAGGAAAGCATTATGAATGCTTTCCTATGTGACCGGCTGAATGCGCGCGCAGCTAGCCCAGGAGGAGGAACGGAGGAGGATCGGAGGCAGAGAGCTCCCCGCCCAGCGCTGGAAAAAGGTAAGTTTAACCCCTTTTCCCCTTTCCAGAGCCGGGCGGGAGGGGGACCCTGAGGGTGGGGGCACCCTTAGGGCACTATAGTGCCAGGAAAACGAGTATGTTTTCCTGGCACTATAGTGGTCCTTTAAAGCGCTAAACAAGACATGTAGAGTTTTGTATATTTCTGCCTATATTCTACTTCCAGTCATAGGAATGCAAGCATTAGTTACTTTTATTTCACTATTATTATTAACAACTGCAATGGGATTTAAATCCGTGAGCCTATTTCCTATTTTGCAATTTTTTTTTAGGAATAATCACATCCCCATTCTAATAATAATTAAATGTAAGAGTAAGCCTCTTTTCTGCTTTAATTGATATGTAACACCTAAAGGGACACTATAG